CTCTCTCTCTCTCTCTCTCTCTCTCTCTCTCTCTCTTCTCTCTCTCTTCTCCCTCTCTGTCTGTCTGTCTGTCTGTCACTCCACAGGATGACACGGACCTGGCAGGCCCGCTTGTGTTTTGCTTGTGCTTCGGGCTGTGCCTCCTCTTGACGGGAAAGGTGAGCGAAGCCAAGAAATTTTGCGGGGACGGCGGGGTTGGTGAAGCGTGAGAGGTGGACGGGATGCCAACATACGGCGCGTGTGTGTGTGAACAGTACCAGCGGCGACACCGGCGGTATACCTTTGATGCAGCTACTAAGTGCAAGCTTCAGCGTGCATCGCTCAAGTGCATCAGCACGTGAACAGCTGCAATACTCCCGTGCATGAAACCAAAGCTCGAGTTGCACGTGTTCCAATGTGATTGGAAGCCTTGGGCTTCCGCACGAGCCGTGTATGAAGGGCACGTACCTCATGCATCGCCAGGGGAAGAGCAGTGTCGGATATGTTGGAGAAGAAAGACGATGTACCGCCGCCGCTGTTCAACAGGCACTCCGCAGAGGCCAGGGCTGGCACTTCAAAACTGTGCCCGCGTGTTGTACTTGTGTGTGTGTGTGCCGCTGGTGAGAAGGCTATGTAGGGATTGGCCTTCATTTGCCTCCCCCCTCGTCGTGGTCGTTGCGGTGTGGTATTATTGTGCATTACTTGCACACTCCAGCGACTCCTGGAGGGACGACGGGCGACCCCTGAATTTGTTCCCGCGTTTGACTTTGTGCAATCGACTCCGTGGTACGACGCTCCTACCTGCAGCGCTATCCCATCCCCCGCGCGCCTTTCTGCAACCTTGCGGAATGGTGTGAGTGATTATGCCCTGCTTTCTTCAACTGCTGCGCGCACAAGACTCCCTGCTTGCCCAAGTCACCCTGCCTACTGCCTACCGTTTTCTCACGTCACCCACAGCCACACTTTGGGTACATCTATGGGTTCGGAATGTTCGGGTGCATCGCGACGGCGATGGTGCTCAACCTAATCGGAGAAAAGCCGATTGACCTCTGGAAAACGACAAGGTGTGTGTCCCACTTCCTTTTACCTCCCCCCGCGCCCCTCTTCCTCGCCAGCAGAGAACTCGTACTTGCTTCGAAGAACACGCCTCAATCCTGCCAATCGGCATTCGGGGATTTCCTACTGGTGGATGTCAGGAAGTGGTACTGGTGTGGCAGGTGTTTGAGATGTGGCCGTTGTCGTGTCCGCGCAATGGGCCAAACCTTTTGGGCGCAGCGCCAGCGGTGAATGAGCTGCTCATAGTTGCCTCTTTCACTCACATCTTCCATTCTAGCTGTGCGCAAGCACAGAGCAGCACTGAGCCCCCCCTACCCTAGCGCCGCAGCCACAGCCAACCTGACCTGAATCCTGCCCCCCTCGACATCCCAACCATGCAGTGTTTTGGGGTACTGCCTCTTGCCGGTCATCGGCTTAGCGGCGATGGGGATAGTGACGGACCTGCGTGGGAACTTGGGGCACGTGCTGGGGTTCGTGGCGGTGGCCTGGTGCACAATTTCGGCCACCCGCTTGTTCGAGGAGTATTTGGAGATGCGAAGACAGCGGTATCTCGTGGCCTACCCTGTAGGCCTGCTGTACGCTTGTTTCGTTCTCATCACGGTGTACTAACCGGGGTCTTGTGTCTCTTGTCCTGGTGTTTTGTGGGGGATCGATGCGCGCGCACACCCGTCGCCCTGCTGGTATAATACGTGGAGCACTGCTGCCAATGTACAACGTAGCGCTTCGAAGATCGCGCGCATTTCGTGGTTGATCGAGGTATTGCCGTCGTTGTTGTTTCTGTGGTCGCTGCTGCTGTTTTCGTGCGGCAAGGAACGGATGAGTTGAAATCGGTAGACATGAGGTTTTGTTCCGCTAGACTCGCCAGGGATACTCATCGCATGGCCCGCACCAACAGTGTGACCCGTTTCGTGTTTCTACAGTAGTTCCAGCCCTTTTCGTCGGCATTGTATCGGTCCGTCGGGCGGATGTGTACGACTCTTTTGCCCATCAGTCCACAAACTTGTGGGAGGTGCCTCACTTGACGAGGGGGGTGGACAGGTCGGCTTGAGACTGCAAGCATTTGCGCTGTTTGTAGGACTAGCTAAAGCATGTTCGCAGGCAAAGTGGGGATCGTTGTCACGAACGTCTGCTTACTTCGTACACAAAATGTTTGGGCTCTCGCGTTTGGTTGAGCCTGCCTGGGAATGCATCTTACGCCTAAGTAGGGGTGTGGCTCTTCACGATGCACACTTGCGGAGATACGTGTCTGTACATATGTTGGGGAGAGGGAGTGTGTTATATGCATGTTAATTTTGGGCTTGCCTGTGGTTTATTGGCGCTTTGTCCGATAGGATTTTCTGTCTCAAGCGGTGGTGTTACACGTAGAAAAAAACAAGCAATCATGTTCGGGGTTGTGGCACACTTGCTGGTGTGGTTGACCTTTCAAAGAAAGGGATTCCAACAACGACACTGGTTCTTCGAGAAAGCTCTCTACAAGGTAAATGTTGAGCGCCGCACTTTTCCACATCCACCGTTCTTACTTTGGAGTACGTGGCGCTCGGTATAGCAACCCCGTGGATGTGGCAATGTGTTGTGTAACCTACGGTTCAGCTGACGACCAGCCTCAGCCTGAGGTAAAGCCTTTTGTTGTATTCGCCTTTCAGTTATTCTTTTGCCCTTGTACTTCACCGAAACGGGGCGCCAAAGAACAAAATAAATATCACTACGCAGCGCCAAGGCTTTTGAAGGCCAACAAGAGGAGTCACACGTCGAACTGGCCAATACCATCACCCGATACCCGAAAGCTTCGACACACTGAACCAACCACCCTCCCATCTTCGAAAAAAAAGCAATCACACCATCATATGCCATCAAGTACATGACTCGAGACCTAATCCTCCAAACTAGTAACGAGAAATACAACCCTCCTGATGTTGGGGACGACGACTAATAAACTCTGGCAAGGTTGAATCGTCCCCGACCAATCCCGTTTCGGCGACGCCTCTTCTTCGTCGCGGCCACCCCCGAGAGCTGCTTCATCCGAAATGTCACGTAGTCTTGGCCTCGGTGAGCGGCCTGGTTTTGCAGAAGAAGTTATGGCGGTTGTAACAACGGGGCGGTAAGTTCGCGAAACGGGGCGCGTGAAGGAAGCAATAATACGGAACAGCGAAGAGCCAATGAAGTTTGACTCTTGCGTAGTCTTCGGCCGGAGAGATTCCCTTCCAAACGACGGAGTGCCGCAGACTCAAAACGGTCGTGGCTTGACGGAAGCAGAGTGAACGCCAACACCTCATCACCAATTGTAACCCAAGGCTTGGATCTATAACGCTCATGCCGTTGAGAGATGCCGTTGAGAGGCAACCGAGAGGAAGAAAGCAGAAGGATGAATTTGGGTGGTAGAAACAGGGAATATATCCAGGTTGCGAGAGCAAAGACGAAGGCCGTTTACCTGCATGAACGAGTGCCACAAAGTCGATGTCGGCGCAAAAAATTTACAGCTACAATTGATGGCACGTGTGGGAAAAAAGAAACTGTTTTCTCGCCCGTTCACCTCGCAACAAAGATCAGGACATTGCGGCGAGGTACTCAGGTACCCGCACGACTGCAGTACCCTATTCGACTCGTGCAAACCAATGTGGTTAAATGATTTCGCAGCGAGAAGAAGGCGTTCGGCACACATTGATCGAGATGCTACAGCAGTTTCGGGAGGAACCGTCGCCCCGCCCCCCTTCCATTCCCGGGCTCCATCGTTCACTACCAAAACATAGCTCTCAATATGGCAACGCTCATCGAGGTGTCTCCGAAGCGCCTTCTATAACACACATGGTAAAGCCCACACGACGGAAAACGACGTACTAGATCCTCCGCACCACGTACTTTCGAAGCCCCCCCTGCGGTGTCCCTGCTTCATGCCCCGCTCAACAACACAAACAACAGTCGGCTGGACTGGCATTTCACTTCATGAAGAAGAGCACCAACCGTCATGCGCCACGTGGACTGGAGCTAGACCCACGCGAGCACTCACCGCTTTCTGGGTGGCCACTTGTAGGGACTTCTGCGCCGTCCGCAACGTCTCCATCTTGGCCGGTTGCTTTGTGTCCTCCACGTTCTCCGGCAGGGCGTTCATCAGCATCATGAACTCCCTCTCACACGCCGCCGTGCTCGCGTGGTCCAGCACTTTTTGTACCTGTATACCAGGGAGGGCACCCGAAATATCGTGGTCGGTCAAAGTCATGCAAGGACTACTTGCTATACCGGTAGACCCCAAAGACGTGATGCGTTGCCCAGCATGCATGAAAAGGCAAGAAATGCCGATTGCATATGTGTCAATTCTAGTTTAGATGTAGATGTTACCACACCGTTCCGTATCCAGGTGTAATAAGTGTGTGTGTGTGTGTGTTTCGTCCTATTTATTGTGGCGACAGTCCCCCCATTTTCGCGGTGAGATGTGTACTACACTCTCTCGTATGTAGGTAGAGTACTACACTCTTCAGTGTACTTTTTCGTACAACTACAACCATCCGGGGCCACACAGGAGGGGGTAAACACCAGGGCTTTTTTCTTCTTTCTGAAGGGGTAAACACCAGGGCTTTTTTCTTCTTTCTATTTCTTTTCATGCCCCACCTTCCTCCTGCGGTGCGTGCTGGATTTTTTTTTATCGCGAGAAGGGTCCAACCATCCCTTTCCCTCGTCAACGGTGCTAACGTCGAAGTTTGGTACTCACGAGGAGCTTTTTCTAGCTACATTTCGCTTTCACCCGCAAATTTCGTAAATTTTTCACCCCCTCTTCCCCAGGGATTTGAACTCACGACCTCTGCGACTAGCGGATTACGAGGATACCACTAGACCAACAGGGCGACGGGGCTGTTGTATGTGCTATTCATCGGTATGAGTATTCCTTTCTTCTGCTGGAAACAACGCGACACGAGCCAGGAGCAAGGCTGGTCACACACAAAGGAGCAAAATGGCTTCAAATGCCATCTCGCGAACGACATGCCAGTACCGTCGTAGTGGGCCTTCAGCAACGCCGGTTGAATTGCCTGGCACCGACGGAGTCACCAAGTCATTCTGTACTTGAATAGCGCCGGTCCTCCTGAATAGGGCCGGTCTTTTTGCCGGGCACATACCGGCGTTGTTGAGGGCCCACTGCTGTAGTCTAGCCTGCGAGAACTAGTACATATATGCTCCATCTTGGCGTGATTGCCGCTCGCATGCATACGATGCCGCATTTCGAGGTTCCACCCGCCCTCTTGCGCTCGTGTGCTTCAAAGTCTAAGACTGGGGCTGTCAATCAGGGAGGCAGCAGTGTTGAACTGCTGTTTCGGTTGTCTTGTTGTTGGTTTACCGCGGACATCGTCTTGCCGGCATTTGCTGGAAATCACCGACGAAAACGGTTGCAACACCGATCTACACGCCACGCATGATTGAGTCTGCTCGGTGAAGGACCCTTGCCGCTTACCAGCGGCAAGAACACCTCTGTTCCGTGATGCCTTGCCAAAAACACTTGGGCCGACAACCTAAACGGGCGCATTCAGAATCAAGCGGCAGGGAATGGTAGTGTAGAAGCAAATGCCGTTTCAAAGGCTATTGAAACTTCACAGCGTGCATTTGTGAGCTGTGTTTCATGTGCAAGTACCGCTACGGTAGGATACGCTTTGTACGCCTATCATGCTGTTGTCTGTGAAGTAGGCCAGAGAGCGGCGTGTCTGATGTGCTGCGACTTAGACTAGACTCCAGAGGCAAGATACTCACAACTCTACGTCGGGCAGGCGTCCGCATAGCCGCCTGAGCGGCCCCGATAGGATTGAGAAATCTGGACATGGCAGATCCACACACTTCCCCCCTGGCTCGTCGGTGGTTCACGCTGTGCGCTGTGCGCTGTGCGCCCTGTCGCCTCGCCTGCTGTCCCTCTGCTGCTGTTGTCTGCGTCTCATCAGATTGGGTAAGGCACCCCACAATCTGTGTCTGCATTCCACGGGGCTCCCGCCCAACCCGCTCGAACACTCCCCACAATTTGCGATAGGTTTGGCATACAGCGACGCCACGGACATGCTGAGGACAGCGCTGCAGGCTGGGGTGGGCTGCCTTCCGAGGAGAGCGGCCAGTGGTGGTGCCGTTTCTTCCCCGCAAGCAGGTCGGCGGGCGTTGTCTTCTCTCCAAGAGGCACTTATCAAGGTCACCTTCATCGATGCAGAGGTGCGTCTGCTTTTTTCTGTCGTCTCCCTCTCTCGCTCTCCCTGGCGTGGTTTGCAGTACATGTTTGTGTTCACGAGTTGGGGTTTCTGCGCGCGCTGGGGAACTATCCTCATTCTAAGAGTTTTGGCGGCATGCACAAATAGGCGATACAAAATCACCTGAAATGAGAGATCCGCTGTTCGCGTGTTTTTTACCATGGTATTGGGTAAGCGTACCTGGAACAGCTCTGGGTTTCACGGAAGTGAGAGCTATTCCAAAAGGTAGACACTTCGCCTTGACAGCAGTCTTCAGGGATATAAGATATTCTCCAACTAGTAGATCAAGGTGTGGTGCACCGCTTGTTGCTTGCATGAAGGCCACCGAAGCACGTGTAGTTAGAGGCATACATGTACGCATGAAACTGCCAGAGGCTGATGTAGACACGTAACAGCCGGCGTCCACGGCACAGGACAAGGACGCCAGCTGAGACACCAGAGAGAGAGCAGAGAAGGCGCTGCTTCCTGGTGACGAAAGATGGATGCTGGCGCTGTCGGTGCTCATGGGCCCGCAGCTTGGCGATCTTTGCTCGCAGATAATCCGTGGTCCTTAAGGGTATAACGCATGGAAAAGTCGTAGTCTAGAAGCAGAGACGAGACCTGCTTTGATCGCTCTAGTTCACAGGATCAACCGTCTGCCTCTCTCAATATCTCCTTGACCTCTACCCCCAACATACAAACGCATGTTGCCATCCCTTCTCCCCCTTCCTTCCGTGTCCGCGCGCGCGTGCGCAATCTCCATCTCCCTGCCACCCCAACCACCGGGCGCGTGATGGCCTTCTTGGACGCGGACGAAAACCGACGATCAAAACGGGCACCATGTTCTTTCCCACAGGGAGACCGCGAGACCGTCTCCGCGCTTCCGGGACAGAACATCTTCGAGGTGGCGGAGAAGCACGAGGTGAGGGAGCGAGCAGCCCAGGCGATGAGAAAGCCTGGATTTTCCCCGAACGACGGCAGCCAACAGTAACAGCAACACCGTAGGATTGCCCCGAGTTGCCAACAGCGATTTTATAGCCTCCGCTAAACAGCAAGCAACGGGCACCACCGTCCTCACCATGCCCAAAATGTAGGAAGCTGGACGCAGCGGATGCAGCCGCCCTGAGTGTGTGCCTTGTCGTAGCCCTCGCTTACCACGACCATCGCGAAGGACCTCGGTAAGGGTGAGAGTCAAGCGAGGCCCGTAGCCCCTGTTGCGCCTGGTGTTGTTTCCCGTGAACCACCTTGGGGCTACTGCGTCTTCTTGTTGGGTTGGCCTCTCGTGGAAACCCATGCTGGGGAAGAATGTCGCGCTCTTTCGTTCTCCCGGTTGTTCTTGGCCGACTCAACTGTTTGTAGAACGTCATGTTAACGTGTTGAGAGACAGCTGCAAAGCGGGGCGTTCGCGTTGTCAGCAGTTGCTTCTCTACTACTGCCAGACACCTGCCATTTTGTTTTCCTGGTAGACGAAACAGACGATCCAGTTTCATCAAACTCAGACGGCCGCAAGCCGCGCGAGGGTTACAGGGTACGACTTTATTCACACACACACCCCTCCCCCTTGTGCCTAACTTTGCTGTGCTCCTCTTGCTTTATCATGCCGATGTGGCGAATCTTGCCTCAATGGACTCGAATGGATTGGAGTGCAGATAGCGCTCGACGGACCCTGCCGGGGGAAAGCCGGTGCGGTGCAGAGCCGCAATTCGGAGTCGTGGACGGTGAGCATCGTTCTCTTGCATCGTTGTCTTTGGCTGGCAGAAGCAGAGGACAACATTCGGGGCAGCGTGGGACGGAGGAGGGCGGCACTCGCTGCAAATGAGGGATGGTCTTGGTGTTACCCGCCCCTCCGATACTCATTTCGCATGTGGTGCGGTTTGGGAAGTTCGTTCCGAAGGATGAAGTATTACGCGGCCTTGCAAGGTCATCCACGATTATCATAGTCGAATTCCCGATATCGCTTACAGTACGCATTCAACCCTTGCACCAGGAAGTGAGGTTGCTCTCAAACCCAACCCTACGGGAATGACAGATGAAAGTGTGACGATGCGAACAGTAGAAGCTATCGTAAGGCGAAGGCGCCGGTCAGTTTTTCGTTTTGGGCTGCCAAACACGGACGAAACAAATGCCTCGGCGGCAACGAGCCTTCATGGTCCGCGGCAACGAGCCGTAGGGCCCGTTGTAGCCACAGTTGTGTTTTGTTAAAGTATCTGATGGGGATACTCAAGAGTTCCATTCCCTATTGATTTCAACGTCTATCGCCTTGCTTCAAATCCGATGCAGTGAACATCGGACATGAGGGTGTTTTGTTCATTTCACTCTAACCACCCCCCCCCCTTGTGTTGGCCATCGGAGTTGGGTTTTCGTCGCTTGGCAACGACGTTGTAAAACAAGCCAATTCACTTCGTGAACTCGGCAACCAGGTTACCGTTTTTTTTTTTTACCTCTGGTTTGGCGGTAACCATAATGGTGGTCGAGTAGATCATGTTGTGCGGTGTCGAGAAACCTCACTCCGCGCAAGGGGATGATCGCACCACGTTGTGGTCAAGCACCCTCGAGGCAATTGCACAGTACTTATAACTGTCTCAGGAAGTGAAAGCTCCAGAACAATAATTAAGTCATACGCAGCTGTCATCCGTACGCAAGGAAGTAAGCACAAGATGCCGAACACCCTTAGCAGGATGCAGCGCACCCTTCATGCGACTCGCCGAATATCTCACGGCGCTTCGCGCTTGGTGATGTGAGAGCCTGGTCCGGTGAGAACCCGGCGTGCTCCGTCCCGGCTTTGTAGGGATGCGAGGTCAATGGTCTAACGACGACGGCATGCACGACGATGAGTACCCCC